CGCGACGGCTGACTGCAGATAATACGTGTCCTCCGCCTATCTGCTTCTTTGTCGGTTTGATTTCGTTCGGGTTAATCGGATCGGAAAAGGTCGATGGGTGATTTTCCTAGCAAAGATCCCATATAGGACATTGGGGTGGGCGGTCAACTATGTAAATCAAAGCCAAATTGAAGATTTTTTTTGAATTGAGTGATAATAATAGTGATCGGAATTATATATCACTTTGTATATGTATTTTAATAATAAAGAATGACTTGAATGTTTTTAGATGTCTAGAGCGAATCGCTTTACTTTTTCAATTATTTTAGCATAAACCTATTCTTAAATGCGTTTAGAACAAATTTACGTTTAACGTTAATATTTAAATTTCAAGTTGACTCTTTACAAAAATTTTGTTTAAACTGTGAACTATTAAAAAAAAAATATTTCGTTACAGGTAAAAATATTAATGCTAGAGCCTAAACTTGTTTAACATACCTTTGGCCCTTCGAAGTTGATTCTTCGGTTAACGTTAACATCACTTTCTAGGAATCTCGGGAAGGGGAGAGGGGGTAAAATGAAACGAACATATAGAAATGAACAAATATGGGTTTCATTGGTCGATGTAAATCAAGTGATCGGCGAGAGTTATCCAGCGTTTTGATTGGTTGTTCATTTTTCGGGGAAGACTTCAACTGGGGGATGATGTTAACCGAAGAATTAACTTCGAACGGCCTTTGTTATAAACGTGTTTAAGAATAGATTTATGCTGAAAATAATTGAAAAAAAAGTAAAGCAATTCGTTCTAGACATCTAAAAGCATTCAAGACATTCTTTACTATTAAAATATATAAAATGATAATCACTATTCTGATTACTAAATTCAAACAATCTTCAATAATTAATTTTTATATGATAACCACACATAGTTTTGATTTACATAGTTGACCGACCACCCCAATAGGACATGTCTGATAATATAGACAATATCGAGAGTCTATAATATTTTCTGTAACCAAAAAATTTAGGCACATGGTGTTTTGGAACATCATGGAGAAAATATAAAAAAAATTTAACAATGCCATCTGCCATAAATCATCAATATTTAGACACCCATGTATGAATGTGAAAATCAAACCTGCACTCACGCCCTTATACAATGCAACATAACATAATTTTTTATTGTAAGCGTGGATACAATACAAAAAAGACGAAACTTATACCCTTTAGGTTACCTTTTTGATGAAGACATAAATTTATTTAAGGCTAAATACTATTTGACAGTGACGTTATCAATAACGTAATCGTCTCTGACGTGGGTCTCATCCTATTATAAAATCTTTTAATGTAACTGAAAATGACTCAAATTATGATATTTACACTACAATAAATAAAATTACTACTCTTACCCGTGCAGGCGGCACGAGCTAATGCCAGTACTATAAATAAAAGCTAGCACGCTATTACAGTATTAATTTAATTAAATAAACGTTTGTCGCCGATTATAATACCCGATACCCGGTCTTTTACTATAAAGGAAATACGGTATTGTGCTTGGGGTACTGGTACGTACGTAATTCTTCAAAATCACAATGTAAAGGTAACTATAATTACTAGAGGTAACTATAATCACAATGTAGAGGTAACCATTAAGGAAAAAATTTGTTGTCATACCTATTATTATGGACTAGATAGTATGGATACGTAGTACGTATGTCGTACAATGCTTATATGCGTATGCATAAATATATTAAATCAACTTCCTAATATGTATACAACTTGAGTTTTTTTTTTTTTTATAATATTGTACTTATTGTGTACGTACGATGCAGTTAAATCTACGTATAAACATTAAGGTTAAAGTCTAAAATATTTTATGTTAATTACCCTTGTTATCGTTTTCGTTATTAAAATAATGTTATTAATAATAGGGCCAGGTACGTATGTACGTACATACTATCGAAAAATCCTACTTATTTAAGAAATATGTTAATTTGAAACCCCTTATTGAATGCATTTTCGAAAATACTTTTTGCTATTGGTTAATTTCAACCAACTGATCGTAAATAAATAAATTTTATACAGTATGTGGATTTTCCTATCTGTTATCTCAAAGTTAATTTCATAATATTTTGTGACGGAGATCTATTTCAGACGGTAAGTTATATGCTATTTTATCGTATATAAGCAATTTGTCAGACAGTCGTCTTCGGTTTCTTGATCAAAAATGCTTTCCTTTTTGACGTTGGTCTATATTTTACCTTATTTATTCTCTTTGTCCTTTACGAATGCTTCACCAGTCCTATCGAGTAATATAACTCATAATGTTAACTGTCCGAAAGGCAAAGAAAGAGTTTTTGATCTTACAATCAGTAAAGGATTTTTTGCTCCTGATGGTTTTGGACGAGATATGTTTCATATAAATGGCACATTTCCCGGTCCTCTCATTAGTTGCAATAAAGGTGACATACTAGTGTTGAATGTTAAAAATGTTTTGAATGAAACTACTACAATTCATTCTCATGGCATCCTCCAACGCGGGACTCCTTGGTATGATGGTGTCCCTGGAGCAACTCAGTGCAGAATTCCACCAGGTCAAACATTCACCTACAAATTTCAAGTTTGTCAAAGTGGAACTTACTGGTAGTAAGTAATCTTTTCTTAAATAGTTTGTCAAATTAATTATACATGATTTTTTAAAAAAATTTTTTTTTTAAAAAAAATAGCCATTCGCATGACAAGGCCCAATATATCGAAGGAGTTGTTGGTGCTCTTGTAATTCATGATCCCGAGGATCCTTATATTAATGACTATGATGAAGAAATTGTCGTGTTATTACAAGACTGGTATCACACCGATTCTAGAATTTTAATAAAACAATTCTTGACTCCTGAGAGTCAAGGAAATGAACCATCTCCTGATAATGGATTGATTAACGGAAAGAATTCTTTTAATTGTTCGTCAGCTTCACCAGATAGTCGTTGTAATAGTAATGCTCCATTGGAACAATTTAAATTTGTTAAAGGAAAAAAATACAGAATTAGAGTTATTAATACTTCGTAAGTTGCTTTTTTCTTCTTTTTTATCATAGTAATCGCAATAATTAATTAATTAATTTACATGTAATTAATTAGTGCGTTTTCTGCTTTTATTTTCTCGATCGATAACCATGAATTAGAAGTAATTGAAGTTGAAGGGATGATTACTAAACGCCATAAAGTTCAGCGCCTTCCTATTAATATTGGTCAACGTTATTCAGTCATTGTGAATGCCAATAAGCCGATAGATTCGTATTGGATGCGGGCAGAAATGGAAACTTCTTGCTTTGCCGTCGTTTCACCCACTCTCAATCCTATAGTAAAGGCCATTGTTAAGTATGAAGGATGTAAGAGTCAAACTCCATCATCATCTGCTTGGAGTGACATTGTTCAAAATTGTACAGATTTGAATCCTAATCAACTACAATCTTACCATCCACAACAAATTCCTGAGGCTGATGAACAAATAAAATTAATCGTTACTTTCCGTCCGGATGAAAATAATGTCACATTGGCATTTATAAACAATTCAACTTATGTGATAAACACAAAACATCCTGTTCTAAATAAAATTTATGATGGCGAAACGGACTTTGCCCCTAGTCAAAACGTTTTCTTAATTAATCAAACTAAAGTTATAGAGATCATTTTAATAAGTATGAATAATTAACTTTAATCAATTATCAAAATTGGCTTTTTTTTATCTTGGTTATTAATCGAGTTATATTTTTAATTAATTAATTAGACAAGGACGCCGGTGAACACCCATTTCACTTGGTAAGTATTCTTAATAATGTAATTAATTGATTATTAACTGATTAATAATTAACAAGTAATTAATATGTGCTTAATTAGCACGGTCATGTATTCTGGATACATACTGGTAAAAATGGCACTCGGCCAGATTTTACAACGTTTAAAAATAATAAACATTTAATACAACGTGATACTACGACCGTCCCTGCTAACGGGTGCGTTAATTTCTTGCTTCTTCTTTTAGCTTTTATTTGTAATTTATAATCTATAAATTTTAACTCTATAAATTTTAATAATTTATTTTGTCATCAGATGGGCCGTTCTCCGATTTGTATCAAATAACCCTGGTGTATGGGGATTTCACTGTCATATTGAGGTAATTTCATTATCTTTACCATTCCAAATTTTCATTATATCTGACTCTAAAGTATATGTATGTATTTACAGTGGCATGTCCAATCTGGATTAGTTGCGCAATTCGTTACACAACCGGATAAAATTAGACAATTAAATCCACCTGACGATTGGAAAGGATTATGTTCAAATTATAATAATTAATTAATAATTAATTAATAATTCTTTTTTTGTAAAAAAAAAAATACTTGGATAATATTATTAGAAGTTTACTGACTTTTTTTAATAATCAATTTATTGAACTTTTTTCGTTATTTAATATTTCATCAATTAGTACATAGTAGAATTTATTTACCAGCTTGTTTGTTATAATGCTCTGCTACGGTCGTCCCTCCATATAGTCACCTCCCATATCACAATATCATATGTAATCACATTTATGTATTTCTTAATTAAACATCTCCTTATTTGAACAAGTTCATTTACAACAAAATGTATTAAAAGGAACATGAAAACATTCAGCTCCTAATCAATTGTACTCAAAATGATATCAGAATATTTTATTTATTAACTCTGAATCTTTTGCGAAGAATCACTAAAGGGATTCTTTACTCCTTTGTTTCACTCATATTGATTCTTTTATCAACCATTGCAATATTCATTGCAGTATTTATTTTAGTATTTATTCCAAATTTATTTATTCTTTCTATTATAAATGTTGCTATCACATTATTATTTCAAAAAATTATCAATAATGATATCAACGTCAATAAATTTAAGCCTGCACTTTCGGTTTCTTTTTTGTTTAAAATCTCTAAAAAAATTTTTGATTTAACTGGAAACCGATTCTTTACTGATACGAAGTTTATTTTTCATTCCCGCTTAGAACCAATAATTGCATATTTATTTACATATTTATTTAAGTTCAATTTTAATCCTTATAAAAAAATTTATAAGGATGACCAAATTCAAGAAATCTATTGTACACATAATAATCGCATCGCCTAATTAAAAGTTGGAAAATATACAAATAAATCTCAAGCCCCAACTTTTACCTCAGAATTGTATTTTAATTTATTCTTCTTTAATATTTCTGGTTCCATTTTAATAAATTATTTTAGTAATCCATTTTACATCAAATTCTTCTTTTCCGAATATGGTCAATCTTATATTTTAAAAATAAGAAACGGAAGAATAGACAATAAACCATATTGCTGATTGAATGAAATGATTAACAACTTATTTAAAACATACTATATTCAATTTTAATTTCAATT